TCTGCCAAAGGCTACCCATCGACCCACCATGCGAATATTCGGACCTCGGGATTAAGCTCAACATTGTACTATCACACCGCGGCGGCGGGAGCTTACGCAGACACTGGGGCGACCTTCAGTGCATGGATGTTGCATGTGTAAATACAGCGATGCAGTCCTCCAGGGACGGCAATGTCGCAGGGAAATCATCGGGCAAACGTAGAAATCTTGGCCGAGTCTCCACATTACGATGCAATAGTGCGTCTTCACCTGCATGATCGTGATGCACCATCGGCTCTGCTCCCGAACCTTCTGTTAGAGAAGTGTGGCTTGTGTCGTTCTCTAGATAGGCAGTGACGGTCGGCATCGCCATTGCCGGTTGTTGCCGCTTCCTCCGTGTTTCCATGCCTATTGGTTGTGGGTGTTCTTGAGGCTCTCGGATGATCTGCGCCTAAACATTCCTTTCGCGGTTCCTGCATCCATCCCTCTTGCACTTTCCGAGGAGACTTTTGATGACTCTGTCGCTCACAAGACACCCTCATGTCACTTTGTCGCTCCGATTATGTCGACAACAAAGGCTTCAGCTCCGCGGAACGCGCATGCGACCCACAGTAAAGATGCCGATGCTCAGCAATCTCACGATCCGCACGACGCCACACTTTGCCGCAACCCTGAGGATCGCGATGGATCCCTTCTTATCAGGGCATACCCACTAAAAGCTGAGTTCCCAAAACGGTACGCACCCACTCAACATGAAAACCCGTCCAAATGATTGGAATGTGTGGTTCCGCGTCACCAGGAGTCTGCCCGAAAGAATGGGGACGTGGGCGTACTAGGCAAAAGCTTCCCTGCAAATGACGTTTTGCATGGAATTCTTCACTTTCCCATGGCTTAATCGCGGGACTACTTTTTCACCATGTTGTACACTTGGCACCTCCCACGCCCCTGTTTTACTCCCACGTCCAGTACATATCAGATATAAGGTTGTCAGGGTCTGCTTGCTTTGAGACGTAGGAAGAAAGGAGCATACAACATGTCGCAACAACAGCCAAACAAAGCTGACAACAGTAAGTTACCAAACAAGCTCGACTTTCCTTCCGAAAAGCCAGAAGGGTTTTTTTTTCATTGGCATCAAGAAGTTACATGTACTGACATTCTACAGGGCAGCAGTCAGATTACTTTACATCCCAAAGACCTGCAGCAACGCCTGAGCCACGACAGCAACCCACGGCAACACGCATGCCATCGGGTTTGGCACAAAGTCGTTCCAATGCACCAAGTATAGGGAGACTTGACACTGCTCGCTTGGAGTCACGACCCGAGAATGAGCGCGCCAACACTACTGCAACTGGTATGACCCATATGGGCACCATCAGAAACACGCCCACTGCTCGAAAGAGTCGGGCAACTCGCGAAAATGTCCGGCAAGAGCCGCCGCGACGACCTGAGAAGAAGCAACAGCAGACTGTAGACGTGGAGAATGACTACTTCTCACTCAACCCTTGGTACAATGAGCAAAAGTCAAAGCCAGTCTTCGGTTTGGGCGCGCCTTTGCCACGCACTGTACGTAAGGGTATGTGGTGGGGAAGAGGCGACCTGCGCAAGTCTCTGTACCGGGTCGATGAAGGAGATGCAGATGGCATCGCTCGACAAGATGGCTTAGGCTTCCATGATGGCAAAGGTAAGTCTTTATATACTCCCTTGATTTGACCTCCCTCAAGAGTAATCATTCTAACTAGAACGTGGACAGATTTGGAAGAAGATTCAGAAGACTCTCAGGAGACGCTAGACGGCGTTGGTCGCCCACACCAACGACGCGACCCCTCGCAGTTCCAGACAACAGTTGAGGGCCGCAATGTCAACATGAAGCGCGTGCCAACAAGTGAAGCTGACCAGGTGCTTGGCCGCAACCAAGAACCGAACGCTCGCAGCCACGAACATCATGAAGGCCAAGAACGTGCTCCCGTCAACGAGCACGGCTTGGAGTTTTCTGATGGACGCGGGCAGCAGCAGCACTTTGGTTTACAAGACGGTCTTCCGCCGCTCCAGGAACACGATACGAATATGTCTTCCCAGACTAAGCAGGAAGAGAAAGAGATTCAGCAACGGGAGCATGAGGCAGAACGCGAGTTCTACAACCAGTACCGCAACCCAATCGCTAGGCTGCGAGCCAAATACCCACAGGCACCTGCCGAGTTCCTCGCCGTACGTATCATCAACTCTTCTGACAGCAACCTTGCTAATACCATGTAGACGTTTGTGTACCTCCTCATTGGACTTTGCGTCAATCTTTCAGTCGCCACATCTCAAGAAGGCACTGGCAGCTTCGAAACCCAAGCCTGGGGATGGGGCTTCGCAGTCATGATCGGCATCTACCTCGGCGGTGGTGTCAGCGGTTCACATCTCAGTCCGACAATCTCAATCTCGCTATCCGTCTACCGTGGTTTCCCCTGGAAGATGGCAATCGTCTACATCTTCATGCAGTTGCTGGCCGGACTTTGTGCCGGCGCTGTAGCTTACGCGTAAGTCAAATCCTCTGCCAATCAAAGTGCCCCAGTTGCTAACTTCGTGATAGCCTTTACGCAGATGCTATTCATGCCGTAGACCCTGGTCTTACCCTGGAGATGACCGGCAAGGCTCTATTCCCTCAAGGACCCATTTACTCCACCGCAACCGGCTTCTTCAACGACTTCGTCTACATGGCCATCTTCGTCTGCGTCATCTTCGCACTCGGAGACGACCAGAATTCTCCTCCAGGCCAGGGTATGACAGCCTTTGTCGTCGGTCTTACAGGTTTCGTCACCATGATCGGGCTTGGCTACAACACCGGTCTGGGTATCTCGCCAGCGCGCGATCTTGGTCCCAGGCTCATCGGATTGTGGGTTGGATACGATTCGGCCTTTGAGAATGGGTACTGGGCGTATGGATCTTGGGGCGCCTCTATTGCTGGCGCGTTGTGTGGTGGCTTGATGTATGATCTTTGCATCTTCGTGGGTGGAGAGTCGCCTGTTAATTACAGGTGGCCGCAGCCGGGGGACATCAAGTGGAAGGCTAAGGAGAAGAAGGATAAGGCGAAGGATAGGATTCAACAGGTGGCTTGAGGTTTCGCAAGTAATGTTAATAGTTGAAAGAAAACGATTCGATGCATTTACTCGGGAAATTTCTGGTGAAGATGTAGTTGCGTCGGTTGATGTGCGAGGAAGCTTGTGCGGCTCCGGGAATAGGACGACCGGAAACAGCGTCGCTGCGCGTCATGCCCAACCACCGATCCGCAACTTCTCCATTGGATATCTCACGATCATGACCTCTGAGGAGAAGGTCACATCCTATCGGAAGCTACACCGACGGATGATCGTACGCTGCGCGCAGACTTATCACTAGCGATGAGCTTTGTGATGCTTATGGTGTCTCATCTGCCGCATACCTTTCATCACCGTCACCACATGAGCCACCATGCGATGACAGCAGCGACCAACAACACATGAAAAAAAAGCACAACAAACAGGAAGAATCGTTAGAAAATGTCTACACCTCCAAACACCTACAACACGACCCCGTCGTCAAAGCCAGAAATGCTACACCAAGAGCAGAAACAACCAGACCGCAAAATCGGCATACGCTCTCGCTTAAAACACTTCACATTTGCCTGGTTCCTCTCAACAATGAGCACAGGCGGTCTCGCCCTCGCCATAGCAGAAACACCGCATCAATTCCCCGGTACCCATCCCTCTCCCATCCCATCGCTTCTACCAAAACTAACAAACCCACCCCCCAGGCCTCCACCAAATCGGCCTAACCCTCTTCCTCCTCAACATCCTCCTCTTCCTCTTCCTCTGCACATGCACAGCCCTCCGCTTCCTCCACCACCGCACCCACTTCCTCACTTCCTTCCTCCACCCATCCGAATCCTTCTTCACCGGGTCCTTCTACCTCTCCCTCAGCGTCATCCTCGCCGGCATCCAAACCTACGGCATCACGCACGGCCCCGCTTACCCCTGGCTCCTCGACGCCGTCTACTTACTCTACTGGATCTACGCGGGGGCTTCCCTCGCAAACTCCGTATTCCAGTATTGGGTCTTGATCCAGTGGAGCAAGGTCCGTCCTGTGCCGCCGCTGCCGAGTCTTTTCCTAGCGGGGTATTCGGCCATGTTGACGGGGACGGTGGCGAGTCTTGTGGCGGGGAGCCAGACGGATGGGAGGGCGGTGAAGGTGGTTGTGAGTGGGGTTGCGTGGCAGGGGTTTGGGTGGTGTGTTAGTCTCATTGCCATAGTCGGTTTTGTACGCAACTTGTTAGACAACGGGTTTCCGCCAGCTCAGTTACGGCCTGCGTTGTTTATACCGGTGGGGAGTGGCGCGTATACGATTGTTGCGTTGATCGGTCTTGCGAACGCGGTGCCGAACAACATGTCGGAGGGCTACTTTGCGAAGCATCCTGCTGCGCCTGAGATTCTTCGCGTTTTGGCGCTTTTCACGGGGGTTTTCTTGTATGTGTTTAGTCTCTGGTTGTTTGCTATTGCGCTGCTGGGGAATCTGGGGGTGGTGGGGAGGATGCCGTTTAGTCTGACGTGGTGGGCTTTCATCTTTCCGAATGTGGGGTTTACGCTTAGTACGGGTGTGTTGGGGAGGGAGTTGGAGAGTGAGGGCATACTGTGGGTGGCGAGTGTGATGACGGTTTTGTTGGTGGTGATTTGGTTGGTGACGGTTGTGGGATGTGTGAGGGCTGTGTGGAAGAAGCAGATTGTTTGGCCAGGGAGGGATGAAGATAGGGATCGTTGAGTAGTTTAGTCAATACACGGTTGTGTGTGTATATCTGCATGGAAGTGGATTGGAAGAACGTACGAGTGCACACGGAGAAGTTGAGCAGCTCGGTATTCTTTGCACTGTGATACTATTTCTGTACTCCAGACTGGTAGTTGCCGCATACATGCCATCAAAACCAAAGAAGTAGGCAGCTTCTAGAGAGATGTATACTTCTAGCTGGATGAATTCATCGATTGAATCCGTGGAATGTGACCCAAATGCTAGATAGCCTGACCAACCCATTGCTCCCACGCCTCCACTCCAGCATCCACATCCAAAATACCCATATAATCATGCGTCCTCTTCAACACAGCCCTACTCACCATCACCCCCGTCGTCGCCGTCCTCCCCAAAAGATCCTCCTGCCGACTCCTCACGAAGCAAAACTGCGGCAGATAATGCTGCGAATTGACCTCCCGACCGTTAGCCAGTTCGACCGCATTGCTCTTCCTCAAGAGCGGACCCAAGTGTCCCACGATCAGTGTTTCGAGGCAAAAATCAGGGTTTACGGTGTAGAGTTCACCGAAGACCAGGTTGGCGAACTTTTGTACTTGTAGCGAGATCATGGATGTGTTCCAGCGGTTACCGTATCCGTTGCCGAGGCCGCCGACTAGGGAGATGGAAGAGCGGTGAGTGTGTAGGGTACGGAGTTTGGGGAGGTGGCGGAGGGAGTTCTGTGGGGGGGGGTTAAGTCTATGGCATTGTTTTCTGGGCAGGCGGGATAGCTTACTACGAAGTCTCTCAGGTTGTGGTACCACATCCCATCTGCCATTATAAATTCCTCGTCGATCCCAGCGGCGAATTGCTCTAGGTTGGGACAAGACCGGCAGACAAGATCGAATTCTTCGGCGTCGATTATCTCGGTTTTGGAGTATAGACTCAGACTCGTGAGCTCCTTGCCTCTACTTTGGAGGTATTGTTTCAACCCTGGCGGTAGAGGGTCGAGGTTTGAGAGGCCGACATGGAGACTACGCAGGTTTGGACATGCTTTCAAAAACTTGGTAAGAGCCGCGTCTTCAGGTTCGATGATTGCACCAGCAGATAGAAAATCGTTCAAGGCGACGTGTGTAAGGTCGAATTTCTGGTTTGGCATTGCCTTTGTCATGTGTGATAGCAACACGAAGGCTCCGGTGCATCCGACCAGGTCGAGTTTCAGCAGCTTACTGAAGTCAATTATTGTAGATAAGGACTTGTACATCTCCCTAAGCCTTAGTCTGGTTAATCTGAGTTCTTTCAGCGGAAGTTTGGGCTGCGTTGGGTGCCAGACATTATCCCAGATCATCTTGGAAACGTTACTACTATGTTGGGCGCTCAAAGATAGGGACTGCAGGTTTTCTCCGATGGAATGGAAATAGTCGAGTAAAATGGTGTTGAGTGGCCCATCGGCGATATGTACGTCCAATCGTTTCAAATTGTTGTCGCGTTGAAGCAGTACTTCTTTTGGTTCGTTTATGTCGTCGGAATCAACATTAAGACTGACTTGGAGGTTTGTGATGTTTCTCTGTTTCGATGCGAGTTTCTTATGCAGCCACCACGGTAGCGGACGTCGCGCGAGGAACCTTTAGGTGTTAACAGGCAACACAAGATGGGGAGTGTTACTTGGAGCATACCGGAATGTACGAAGCGCATTTGCCGGGATGAGATCCAAGACCTGCTCAAGATTGCTGTCGCGTACTTCAGGATCTGCACTCGTGGCGCCAGTACCGGTCCAACATTTAAGGTCAGGTAGTCCAACATTGCCGTACTGCACAGACGTGGTTTCCTCGGCGATGCACTCATCCTCTACGACGAGTTCTCTGGTATACCGGAGGTTCTCTTTTACGTCCTTGAGTAGCTCAAGGATGTAGTTAGTGTTGTTTTCGCTGAACAGGCGGATGTCGATGCGCTTGTAAAGCTTTTCGAGGGCGAGTTGGTTGAGCTCTTTTGACACCAAACATAGTGATCTCAGATCACTTCTGGTGTTTATCTGCTGTGTTCAGTATGTCGGATGTAGCGAGCGGCGATACGGGTAGCATACGTAGTTGAGTACTCGTCTCTGGCAGTCGGTGTTGAGTTGCAACATTGTTGTTGCAGCTCAAATAATCGCGATAGGGAGAACCAAAGATAAACTGGTTGGTTGCCTCTTTTAATACACTTGGTGCATAAGAGGGGTTCTCGCCATAACCCTTGCAGTATGCATCTAGATGCCGCGGAGCCAGAAGGATTGCATCCACCCTTGCTAGACCTGCAGCCAATGCTATCGTGTCAGCGGTCGATTGACTGTCGAGCGAAGAACATACGTTAGCGCTATGTATGCCGCATCCTCCGGCAGTGCGCGTCGTTGCGGCATGTGGGAAGCTGTCGTGAAGGAACGACGAGTCGCATCGGCTATCTACGCCGATTAAGGTCGGCCTTGGGTTCTTGCCCAGATGAGGAAGTTCCTTGCCACTGAACCAGGATAAGTCTGCTCCACACTATATTACGCGAAGCGCTCTCAGAACCGAATGGTATGATTGTGGATGCGACGTCTTCTGGGCAGAATTTGAAGGCGCTCGGACTATCTGCTCAGCTATGTATTCCTGTATGAGTACATACATTGTTTACTGGAGATTCGCGTACTGCTGGCAAAGTACAGTGGCTAGAGACCAAGGGTGTGGCTGACACATCGGCGTTCACGATGAGCGCAGTGCTGAACCGATGGTACGTGAGCAACAAATTCTCAGAACGCTTCTCCGGCCCACCCCTCGAATCCGTTCGATGACGAGGTCCTAGGGAAGTCGATGTCTAGAATATCCGTGTGTGGCTGAGTCTCGCGCAGCATGGCCTGCGAAACAGGAACACCAACCGGGACCGTACGGCCGAGAATATCCCTCTGCTCGCCTCTGACAAAACACTGCTGTTGAAGTTCGGCTGCTGCTTCAGCGCTGGTCGCATGCCCAACGACCAGAGCATCCAGCTTTGAATGCCCTCCCCTGTGCATGTCCTCGAACAGCCGGTTGGCAAACGTTTGCATCTGCAAAGCCAATATATAAGGATCCACCAGTACTTCCTCTAGCGGTTGGTCGTCGTAGATTGGACTTTTGCCCATAAGAGTACTGTCTTCCACACGAATGTGGAGTAGACGCAATTGTTGGAAGCCTCGCAGCGACTCCTGAGACGTGTTAGCCACCATGTGAAGGACTGTCGGCTTGGAATGTGGTTATTAGTACTTACTACTACATTATCATAACTGCTACCGTTGCTCTCATCTGTCAAGTCTCTTTCGTCAAATTGATACGCGAGCTGTTTAATCCCGTTCAGCGAGCTTCTTCGTAACTGTTCTAACAACATATTGTTATGCAATGCCACAGTGGGCGTTGTATCATCATCGAAAGAGATACTCAAGCTCTGTAGATTGTGCGGAAGCGCATCGAAGACGTTGAAAAAACGGGCAGGGAAGCGCTCTATATCCGGAAAGCGTAGGTGGAGACTTTCTATAGGCTCGCAATAACTGAAAAGAGTCATTATGGCCAACAGGTGGTCTTCAGTCAGCAGAGTGCCGCGCATGAACTCTAAAGCAATGTGCTTCAACTTGAACCTGTTGCCCTGCGCACGCTCGGCTAGCTCCATGACGAAGTCTAGATTACCTCCCTTGTCTACGAGCAGCTCTAGTCGGCTCAACTTGTAGAAATCGATAACCCGGTCAAATGCTCCAAATGTGCCCAAGACCACGAAATTGGCCAGCCGGAGCTCTTCGAGCATAGGAGTATATCGGGTGAGGTCGCCCGGCTCGCTATCTACCCATGCATCCAGCTGACCATTTAGTGCACCGACATTCGCCGCTGTCAAAGACAGCCGTTTCAGACTGGCGCCCACAGATTCGATGTTTTCGAAAAGACGGATAATATCTGATTGATCATTGTGGTAAATGTCGAGGCGCTGCAGACCACAGAACACACGTGGTAGCTTCCCGAACGACCCAGGATCAGTGTAAAGGCTGATCTTGAGGTCTTGTATGTTATTCTGATAGTTGCGCAGATGTGACTTCACCATCTGTGGTACAGGTCGCTGCGAAAGGTAGCTGGCCAGGTTAACTTTCACTCTGTAGTATGCATTTGCCGGGAATACAATACCAAAAGCGCTCCAGTTTATGATGATGCATAAATTGCAAGAACAAGTAAGCATTACCGTCCTGTTGGTTCTCGAAGTGCTCGATTTCCAAGTCATGGGCATCATCTTCCCATTCTTTAGGCATGGCCTCTGGGATCCTGATGCGGCCATTATGGATTGAGGGGAGCGGTCCACAAAGGCACTCGTTCTCTATGATGAGCTCTTTCGTGTGCTGGAAATGCGGTCCAGCGCCATGTAGATTGCACTCCCGAAGCTGTTCGATCGCTCCCGGACTCCATAGCTCCAACTTGATGCGCCTGTACAAGAGCGGGATGGCAAGGAGACGAAGTGCTGAGGAAGTCAAGCATAGAGATCTGAGATCGGCTTTCGTCGTTACCTGTCGCAATCAGTGCGAGCTCTGCAGCTTACGTGTAAAGCAAGCGTACATAATCAACAATTCTCAACTGTAGCTCTGTCGGGATACCTGATAGATTAGGTGGGTATCTGTGCGGCTGCCCCGAAATATCCATCGCGTCTGGATCCATTGCGGAGAGTATCGGCTACCCGAGTTAACGGGTAGTTCAATGTTGGGTGTTGTGTAGGAGCGCGTAGAGTTGATGGAATGTGCGACACGCGGGGCATGGCTGGGAGATGCTATCGCCGAGGTTTTACCGAAAAGCAGTGGCACGTACCCGGGTAACGAACTTTTGCGCATGCTCGAGAAATCCGCCCTCTCGGGGTGCAGCCTCTGCGCATCGATTGTCGAGTTCGTGCTGCTGCAACGTTGCTTTCTAGATATGTGCGCGTTGTGTTATACCCCAGGGTAAATTGGAGAATAGACACCTTCGAAGGTCTTGTTCGCGCTCGTGAGATGCGATTGCGACGATTTGAAGTGGTATTTTGAGCGACCTGCTATCTTCTGCACATGTACCGAATTTCAAGTTTCAAAATATCGCTCTACGACGTGAACCTGCCACCAAGACGACGCAAAGGCCAAGAAAAAAAAGTGCATAGTACTACTTGCAACCTTAACTACAATATGCCACAAAACCGCATGCAACAAAGCCTCCACCTTCCACGTCCCTAACCCCCACTACCTACCACCCCTTTCACTCCCACACACCTTGCAAAAAAGAAAAACAGCAAAAAAGAAGATCGACAACATCTAGCTGCTCTCGGTTTCGATCCGAGGTCCTCCGGGTTATGAGCCCGGCGCGCTTCCGCTGCGCCAAGCAGCTTTTGTGGTTGTTGATTGATGAAGTTTTCTTGCTTCACCTTATCTATATCGTGAGGCCAACGTTGATGGGAAGACAAGCAAAGGAGGTGAAAATGTGGTTGGGGGCGAGAACAAGAATGTGGGGGCACAAAGGATAATTGGGTGGGTTGGTGAGGGTGGGAAAATTTGATAGTGGTTGTGAGTCATGTCTGGGGGATTTGGATAGAACTTCAATTTCGTGAGTATCTGAACATGGATATAAACCTAGGATTTCCTAGGTTTGAAAGGACGATTGCAATAGTAAAACACGATACGCAAACTAGTGAACTGCCATGGTAGACGCAAGATAGCAAATATCACCAATTGAGCGAAACCACAGACGGAAGCCCATCTCCCAACAACAGTCCAAACTTCATTACTCCAGCTATAAACAACCTTGGTATCCTAACGCAAACGCCCAATATCTACATCACACGACAATCACACAACAATCTCCCACCATCCCCAGCTCCTGCACCTCACACCCCCCTCGCCTCACACAAATGCCCACTCTTACTCAACACAGTCCCCAACCCCCTATGCACCTCAACCTGAAACCCCTCAAAAGGAACCCTCTCCCCATCAATACTAATATACCCATCCCGCTGCCCTTTCGGAATAATCCTATACGCACTAACTTTCTGGTAATCCACATGGTCCATATCAAAGAAAGAGTGGTTCTCCACCGCCAGCAAAGTCTTCACAGCGGTATGCCGCGCGATATCGCCGCGGATACGGACGAGGTCGAGACAGCCGTCGGAGGGCAGGGAGGCGGGGAAGAAATTTGCGTCGGGCGACATGTAGGCGATGTTTCCGGCGTAGAAGTTGCCGAGGTGGTCGTGGGGAATTAGCTGCCAGCCTGCAGGGAGGGGGTCGGTCGCTGTGCCGTATTTCAGCTCTGGAAGACCGGTGTCGGGGGCGGGGAGGACGCGGTCGTCGGTGCTGCGAGGTGGCTTTGCGCATTCAGTGCGGTAGGCTTCGCGGACGGCGGTCTTGTTGTCGTACTCGACTTTTACGGCGATGTCGGCGGGGTAGCATGTCTTTTTGAAGAGGCGGACGAGGAACCCCCAGGTGAAGCGTGCGCTGCCCATCCAGCGCAGGTGTTCTGTCGCGAGGTCTGTTTCGGCTACTATGCCGACGGACTGGGAGAGGAAGGACAGGGTGCGGCGGTCGCCTTGGGTTATCGAGGAGAGATCGAGGGGCGTGCGCAGGCCCTTGACGACGGCGAGGGCGGCGAGACTGGGGTCGTCGGTGCCGTTGAAGTTGAGGCTCATGGCGTTGCCGGAGCCGCAGGGGAGCTGTGCGACGGCTACCTTTTGGAGCGCTCGAGCTGCGTCGGTCCTCTTGCCCAGCCCGTTCCAGACTTCGTGTGGTATGCCGTCTCCGGAGCAGCAGGCGACTACGTCGTATGCTTCGATGTCCATGTTCTGCGCAATCTCGACGCCGTGGCCGTTGTGCTGTGTCTTCTCCACGTCGAGCTCACAGCGCGCGGCCGCCAGGATGGGCGCAATGAACTTGTGGTATGTCTTGACTGCGCCGCCCTGGCCTCCAAACGGGTTGACGAGCACCTTGATTCGTTTGCGCCGTTGCGACGCTCCGTATGCGCGATCGAGCAGCTTCTCTATCCATGCCTCCGTTATGCGACTGTCCGGTTTGTCGAGGGAGTAGCTGATGATGGCAGGGCGAACGGCCTTCTTCGATGTGTTCTGCGCATACTGGACGGTGATGTGGCCGTCCTCTGAGTGTTCGGCCCAGAGGATGTTGTAGAAGGGTATGGAACGAGTGGATTTGTTCTCTGCGTCGCGTAAGCGGGTGTTGGTGTCTAGACGCCGGATTAGCACTTACTGCCAGCAAGAGACAGACCGCAGCAGCTGGCGCTTTTGCTATCTAGGAGTGCTTCGTCTGTGCTGTGTGAGTGTTGCGCCGCTGTGATGTTTGAGTAATCTCCCCACCTAGTACGACCAAGGAGTCAGTCCCAAGGGTCAGGGAGGCGTTTCTGCCCACAGCGAGTGTGTCGGGAACATTCATCTGCTCCTGGGTGGGTGCCGAGTCGGGCGACGGCTGCGAAGGAGCGGCGTTGGTAGTGAGCAGCGGGTCTCTGAAAGGATCGTCGGAGCCAGCCAGCGAAGCCATGATCAATGGAATGTCGCAGGAACGACGCGCAGCATGCTGTGAAGAGGGCAAGAGCGAGACCAGGAGTCAGTTGGAGACTAGACCAGCGCAAGAGGCACGCTGACGACGGTCATGTCACGCTCACGGGTACCGTCCCTGTCGCCAGGGCGCGGATCCTGGCGGATAGTTGGTGCTAAACAAAAAGGAAACATTCCCGTTGGACCCTGCACCCTCGCGAACCGAGGCATCCCAATCACGAACCAGCCAAGAACGTGACACGAAGCGACTCTTCCTGTGATGCTCAGAGACTGTGATATTGAATGTGAATTTGAACTCTGATGTCTTTGATACGGCAATGCTACATTAACATTGATCCATCCCACCCACATGTCTATCGACCCAACGCGTCGTACGCGAAGACCTGTAGACGAAAGAAGCAACCAACCTTCCTTTTGCTACCGTTTCTTAGTAGGAACGCCCATCTCCCGCTACCCCGGACGTGTGACAGTGCTTATTAGCCGACAAATCATGCCACACCGACCTTGTTCAGACCCTTCAACGACCCCAGGCTCAACGCCAAGCCTTGGGAGCGACTTCTTATGCGCACAAACCCAGTAATAGGGCCATTGTCACCTTCCTTTTCGATACTCAAATTGGCGAGAGCGTCCTCACCTGCTTTCTGTCAGTATTGCCAATGTATAAAAGAATTTCAAGACATACCAAATACACTCCTGGCGTACAAGTTCGCTGACAAGAATTGGCAGTCGCCCTTCATTGACGCCTCTGGAGTTAAGCAGCTCATGTTGGTGCATGCCATGAGTTGCTTCAAGAAATCGCGCAACGTCTTGGCCTTGGAATTGATGTTGACCTTATTCTCCCATTCGAACTCGGTCCACATTGTCCGGAATTGCGTCTCCGTGCATTGTGCGGGCTTGATGTAGTCCATAATGTCGACGTGAACATCGTTGAGAATGACAACATTGGAATCAACACCCTTTTCACTGTAGGATATTAGCAGTTGTTGCAGAGTGTTGATGCGCAGGACTTACCCCTCGTAGATGATGTTTCCGAAGATGACACCGGTATCGGTGGATGAGACTGTAAAAGTAAGTATGCGAACCGAAAAGTGCAAATAGGAAAAGCCTACCCTTGATTGTTGCTTGGATGTTGATAAAGTCGTGAGGACCAACGTTCTGTGTTGAAGGACGTTCGACGACTTTGAGGTCACCAAGAGTCGCGAATTCGATTGTGAGATTTTGCAGCGTCTCAGTTGTTTGGTTTACCAGCAGAACATCAAGGACGATATCGAATTGATGAACCTAGCAGAGTTAGTAGATACCTTTTATAAGTCAGGCTGACGTACCTTAACATATGCTTCTGCGTATACCGAGTCGGAGAAACCAGTAAGTTGCACGACTCGGCTGAGCTTAGATGTGAGATCCTCAGTCGCAGTGTCGCCTCCGGTTGCCCTTTCGAGATCTTGCTCAATCTCGTCGCTACCGTCCGCATCCTTCTTCTTTAGTTGGCGGATGTTGAAAGAGTCATCAACATTGACAGCCGACTTCGCGCGCTCGGAAGCCTCCTTGGCGGCACGCTTCTTCTCCTCTGTCTGAACCATAGTGCGGAACGACTTTCGGGTGTCTTCCAGGAACACAGTCTCGAGCTCCTTTCTTTGCGAGAACTCGGACAGTGAGCGAACGCATGACATGATACGGTCGATGGAGTCCTCATCGATGAAAGTCTTGACAAAATGCGATTGGCCAACACGAATGATCGAGATCATGATGAGCATGGCCTCAGCGCGGAGGGCGTTTGTGCGGGCTTCGTTCTTTGAGATCTCTCCATAGCGCATGACGAGCTTGGTGAGAGTGCTAGACAGTACTGTGGCAAGGTAGTAGTCGCCGTCGAGGAGGAGCTGACGTAGTGGGGGCTTCTGTGAGTTCTTGACTGCTTCCAGTTTCGCTTTGGCGGCGGCGGAGGATGTCAGGGCGCTTTCAGTCGCATAGGTACCGTCAGCGAGGACCTTCCTTGATCCAGATGGAGCTGCCGCCTTTGCATGTCCGTTGACTTGCTCACTGCTGCTCTCCTTGCCCTCCGAAGCATCGTCCAAAAGCTTTTGCTCGGAAGCAAGTATGGGGATTTCGCCGAGCGATGAGCGGATGCCCTTCCACGCATCTTGGATGTCCTTCGCCTCCAGCGAGAACTCTCCGATGATCCAGAGAACACCCCGGTAAACCTTGCCAGCACGTACTTCACCAAGAGTCGAAACCAGTCGCTCGATGATAGAGGCCCTCAGATCTGGGAAGCGCTCAACGACTTCCTTGACGAAGGAAATGACGTCCACCGCGGATGCGTTGCTGCTGACATCGGAGATGAAGTCCATAAGCGATCCGACAACGCTCGCGGCGACCTCGGGGAACTTGATGGCGGCGGAGTGTATCGAGGAGATGAGGAGCGACCTGTATTCGGGGTTCTTCTCGTATTGTTCGTCCACCGTCTTCATGAGCTCCTTCTTCAGCAGAAGGACGACCTCTTCGACATTCCTGCTCGAGATCATCTCCATGGCAATGTTGAGCGACTTCTTCCGCACGTCCAGGTCGGTACTAGACAGAACGCGCAGGACCTCCATAGTCAGATCATCAAGGACTCCCTCATTCTTGTGTCGCAACTGCTCAACCCTCTCCAAGACAATAAGCTTGACGTTGTTATCCGGCTCCTTGATCGCCAGCTCCACGAACTTTCCAGCAGCTGCCTTGACTGCGACCGGGTTGCTTGTGAGGGTGGTAAGGGCGTGCGCGGCTTCGTAGATGACGGTCGATACCTGCGATTCGAGGAGGTCGAAGATCAGGCGGAGATAGCGAGCCTTGTTTGATGGGTTCACGATGGCGTCTTTGCGGATGAACTCTAGCTCGGCGAGGAGTAGGAGCTCTTCGTGGTTGGGTATGGCATCGAAAACGGTGCTGAGGTATTCGAGAGCCTTCTCATGGCTCACGGAGACGAGGGCGGCGAAAGCATTGCGCTTGCATGTTGGGTCGTTCTCGTCGTCGAGGAATGTCACCAGCAGATCGGGCGCATCTGGCATGAGCTCTGGAAGATGTGTGAAGATGGATGCGATTGCGAAGGTTGCGTTCTTTCGGACGTATGCGTGTCGATGTGTGAGGCACTGGCGCACCGGTTCTGCGATCGTCAGTATCAGTGCGGTAAGTATGATGGACAAGATCCTTACGTAGTAGAGGCTCTACAAGCTCAGCATCTCGTAGCTTGGTTCTGTTCCGACTATCAGCAATGCTCGGGAAGGTGTCGTGGAGGGTCCTACACGAAGCGCAATGTGTTTCCTCGTACGTATTCGTTGGGCGCCTGCAAGTCGAATCGAATCGCATTACTATATCGATTAGCAAGCTTCATGTAGTATAGACTTTTCAACTCACCAGACGAGAATCCACTCCTGCCTTAGCTTGCCCTGGGCGTCGTGCTTGGGGCAGACCTCGAAGAAGAAGTACATGAGCTTCTTGAGCGGCTTCGACTTGCTGGGCATGACGAAGCGGATAATGTGCATGAGCAGGCCAGCCTGGGGGTCGCCATTGAGCATAATCGAGAGGATCTTCTTCTGCAGAGCTGTCAGACGGTCGCATTCAACGAGGCGGGGCAGTGCCATTGCGAGAGCGCACCATGGTCTCGATCTTCTGCTCATCGCTGCCCTTCTCCAGAGCATTCTTGAGCTCGTTCTGTGATGGTACGTCGGCGGCATTGTCCTGGTGCACCTGGTGTTGCCCGTCAGCTTCCCCATACCCACGACCTGCCAGGTGTTCCTACCAGACTGTACGAGTTCTCGAGAAACGCCGCCATGATGCCGGGCTATGTGGTATATGGGATGGCCCCGGGGTGTACAGTGTCCAGCTGCGATAACGTGACTCCAGGTGCGGCCGTGAGCCCTCAATGTCCCGTGGAGTCCAGAATAAGTGGGATGGGCTACGTGTATCGATCGACGGGGGCGGTGGAGGGAGTCGTGAGGTTTGGCGCAGCTGCAGCCTAGCGGGGAGGGTGAAAGGGCTGGCGTGGCCTGGGCGGAGAGGTGGCTTGTTGGAGATTTGGGTGCAGTGCTCGTCGGGACTCTGTTTACCTCCAGGTGTCTGCTCGAGAAATGGTCGCTCCAGCGAAGGCCGCCTCGCTAGGCTTGCAGGGGTCTGGCCGCCAAGATCTCCAACCCTCTGCCGCGACGGTACATCAACACCACGACACGCGCACCCCAAGCACTGCGAATTCCTATACGCGCATCCTTAGAGCTCGATATAGGTAGTCGCAAACATGACAACCAACGAGCCATTTTACCTGCGTTACTAGTATGCAGGCTGTGGATTCTCAAGCACGTGCAGTTACTAACATTTTCGCAGCTCTGGTCACCAAGGCCGATTCGGACACGAGTTCTTGGGTGCGCAAAGCTGTTGCGAAAAGAGAATCACGAGTCTAACTTGGTATAGAGTTCGATTTTCGAGTGCTCGGAGACGGTCGCAGCGCATCTGCCCGTTATGCCAACAACTCAAACTACCGCAATGATTCACTCATCCGGAAAGAGAGCAAGTCATTCTCTGCCCTTGACGTGATGTGCTGCTAACGCGCCGTTTAGTGTGCGTCAGCGATGCTTTGGTAGCCGAGATAAAGAAGATCGTCAAGGACAGTGAGATCCTCAAGTATGTGAAGGAATGGAAGTTACGTATCATCTGCTAACTCATCCCTAGGGAAGATGACACAAAGTGGCCCCAGAAGAACAAGGACGGCCGTCAAGAGTTGGAAATCCGGTTAGGCAGCGAGCACATCTCCTTTGAGGTAGGATGGTCCATCTTCCCTAGCCTTCTGTGGACTGACGGTGATAGACTGCGAAAATTGGCTCGCTCCAGGACGTACAAGACTCGTCGGACCCAGAAGGCCTCCGCGTCTTCTACTACCTGGTGCAGGACCTCAAGGCTCTGGTCTTTTCTTTAATATCTCTGCACTTCAAGGTATGCGATCAAGTGTGCTCGCGTCGAACTCGAAAACTCACAGCTGTATAGATCAAGCCCATTTAAGCCTCTCGCTGCCACATGGAGGCACAGTAGCGTTGCTTTTGCCGACAACGCACAGCCACGGGGTTGTGGCACAACCGCGGCTCGACGTGGAATGACGTAGGGACGGCGTACGGAGTCAACTGAAGGAACGACATCTGCTTGTGACTAGTGTCACCTGATCTCCGTGATCCCTTCTAGGACGTGGTGTATGAGAGCAGGATGCCCAGGAAAGGGCTATGCGATCAAAATTCGTTAGATCGCGCGGGTCGGCTCGGAAGGTCAACATGGCCCACTTGGCAAGGAATGATAATATAATTTACAGATGCATTCGACGGCCTAGATATCAAGTGTTCCAATGTGTCTAGGTTTGGCCCCATGTCATCCAACGTGAGCCTAGTGCGGCTTCCCCGCGTAAGTGCAGCTCAGTGACCCACTAACTTTGAACCGCCTAGACACCTCCGCCGAGTCCAAGTCATCCATCCAGCATGCATTCTTCCCCATCGCCACGCTTCTGGCTTCCGCAGGGCTCTATTGTATAATCGCACATTCATCCCCACCCGTCCCATGTATAATCGCCTCGCACCTTCGCTGTAGTCTCGTCGCACCTGCTATCGGACCATGCCGACGCCGGATGATGAAGCCATGGTCTCGCCGGTGGAGCACGAGAGCATCGCTGGCCGCCCGACTTGTCCACCCGAGGAATCGCGCGTTATCGCGACCCACGAATTGAATGAGACACGGGGCGCCCACGACGACAGCAATGCCAGCGCCGTGCCCGATGTTCCCATGCAGCAGCCCACTCCGTCTCCACAAAACTCGCGCGAGCATACCCAGGCGCCCGACGATATCCAGACCAAGCTGCCCAGCACCGACAGAGACTCGCCCACCAGAGACATTCCCACGCCTATGACGGCGACAGACGACGGCACTGAAGAGCAACGCACCTCTCACGTCTCGCCGCTTTCTCCCGCTGCGCCAACTTCGCTACTCGCCAGCCATCTATCATCCCCATTCCCTGCGCATAGGGTACGTCAGACCAGCATGCATGCACAGCAATGCGCAAAGTAGACGTTGCTAATGCCGATGCAGTTCCTACCCAACACATCCTCGTCCCTCCTTCGGCCCGGCAGTCGCTTCGTGGGCACCCAAACCTCCGACCGCCAGCAGTATGACGTCGAAGTCGATATAAAACATGTCGACATGCGCGAGTCCTTCATGTGTGGATACTTGCGCATCAAAGGTGCGCACACATCTTCGCAGTGCCAGTAGAGCTTGTAGACTAACACGCCCACAGGTTTAACGGAAGACCACCCAAGTCTGACGACGTACTTCGAAGGCGAGATCATCGGAAGCAAATACACCTTCATTACACAGCATCCGGAATGGGGCTCCAACGAAAAGGTCGACCGGCAACACTGGGGGCGGTTCGACGCATACAAGCCGATTGCTAAGTACTCTGCGCGTCAGGAGCAGGTGTCGAAGGAGCTGAACCAGAAGGAACACCTCTTCATGCGGTGGAAGGAGTACTTCCTCGTGCCAGATCACCGAGTGAGGACCATAAACGGCGCGAGTTTTGAAGGCTTCTACTACATCTGCTTCAATCAGCTCTCGGGCGGCATCGAGGGCATCTACTTCCATGCTAAGAGCGAGAAGTGAGTTTGACATCCCAGCCAAGATGGTCGTATGCTAACACTGCCCAGATTCCAGAAGCTCAATTTGAAGCACATCCAAGATTTTGGGTGTCAAGGCGCGATTGAATTTCGATAATGTTGATGACTGAACGAGAATGACTGGGCATTGGATATGGATTAGCATTTGGGCGCACACCTGGGATTGTCTTCTTGTATCGATTTTTCTTCCCACGGACCGTATGCAGGGTGCCAAGGTCGTCGGGCTTTTTGTAGTAACGTCTTTGAGACATGCAGGTCGAATTACGTCACGCTACGCTCTGTCGTACAAGCAGTAGATCGCTGCGCGAACGGCTGTTTGCTGTGTTGCTGCAGATGTGGTGGACCAGAGACCCTGGCGCTAGCGAAAAACTCGCTTGATTCGTGATACGCAGCTAATCGACTATTACCTCAGCACCTGTGCATCTACCTTTGACCCTACTTCCTTACATATCTGTTAATTGCGTATACCAAAGTCACCATGCCAGGCGAAACAGCAAAGCGCACAAAGCGCGAGGAGTACAAGAAGTCGCTGCAGACGGAGGAGCAGCAGGGCGCCATGCCCAAGAAGAGGTTCTACAGGCAGCGCGCCCATGCGAATCCATTCTCAGATCACTCGCTCACCTAGTAAGAAGGCTTAGTCTTTGATGAGAAATGGATCTAACATGATGCAGCCCCAAGAGCCCCGCAGACATGGACTGGGCGAGTCTATACCCCTTGTACGCCAAACAACCTAAGAAAGAGACGGAAGAAGGCCAGAATGAGTCACATGATATGAGCATAGAAGAGCAACGGGAAGCAAATGCGATATCAAAGAATGTCGAAATAGCAGACATAGGATGCGGCTTCGGAGGCCTACTCTTCGCCCTCGCACCAAAGTTCCCCGATACATTAATACTTGGTCAGTACCCCATCCATTGTCGCCACCTCGTTCACCACACAAGTACACAAGACCACAAGCAGCCATCCCCAAACTAACACGAACCCACAGGCATGGAAATCCGCACATCAGTAACAGAATACGTGCAAGAAAAAGTCCGCGCCCTCCGCGTCCAAAACGCCTCCACTTCGCAGCTCTACCAAAACACCTCCTGCATCCGCGCAAACACTATGAAATTCCTGCCCAACTTCTTCCAAAAACACCAACTCGAGAAAATCTTCTTGTGTTTCCCGGATCCGCATTTTAAACAGCGGAAACATAAGGCGCGCATCGTGTCCTACACGCTAAACTCAGAGTATGCATACGTATTGAGGCCGGGTGGGGTCGTGTACACGATCACAGACGTGCAGGATCTGCATGAGTGGATGAAGGGGCATTTTGAGCGTCATCCGTGTTTCGAGCGGGTGGAGAGGGTGTTTGAGGAGGGGGAGATGGTGGATGGGGTTGAGGGCGTGGGTATGGATGAGTGTGTTAGGCTGATGAGGAGTGAGACTGAGGAGGGGAAGAAGGTGGAGCGGAATAAGGGATTGAAGTTTGTGGCGTGCTTTAGGAGGAGGGAGGATCCGGAGTGGCCGTGAGGAATGGGCTTGCTGGGAAATTGTTCTAGCTGAGAAGGGTGTGCCGGCTCTGTCAATTGTAGCATGATGTGGAACTAAGTGGTGGTATTCGCTGTTTACCTCTGCGCAACGTGTTCTCGCGCTAACTAAACGTGAGCATCAGATATGTAGTTCTTCTCGTTGTAGAGACTCGTGCATAGCTAGCATAGCTTATGGGGTATTTGAGTGAAGATGGAGGTTGCTCACTTAGCCTTCCGCGAGAATAGGTTTTTCCATCTCAGGCTTGCTTCTTTTTCAGTAATATCATAACAGAAGTGCCAATAACATGTATCCAATTCTGCACCTTCAACATTAAAGCAAGACATTTGCTGTATACTGATAAAGTGTACAGGCAGATCAGGACTGCATCTACTTGCGTGTCGGGCGTTAGGTCTCTCAAACCGCGTTATGTCACTCACGAATTATTATGGGAACGCTTCCCAACGTTGCTTGTTCATTGCAACGCTCTATGAAAGTGCTACCTAGGTATGGTTGTGATGATTGAGAGCTCTGTTCCCCTTGCAAGCAGCGAAGTCGTGTGAAACGACTAATCGCCATGGCTATGGTGGTCCCTACCCATTCCTCACTTGTTACGAGACTGCCTGTTGGTTGAATAGAACACTGTAGTACCATGGTTTTCCAAGCCACCGGTGATGAAATCGCAAAAATTGATCGCACGGCGGTTGTTAGCACAAAAGAATTTCAGTGGTTTGACCCACCGCAAAGGCATGCGTAGGAGTTCTTGTAAGTAGGGACAAATTCACAAATATAGCCGTAGTAGCCAACACGGCTCGCCCGATGATATGTAAAACAGTGATTGTGACTGACCCGCTTTCGCGCGTTCTATGGTAGAGTAGGCTTGATTATCTCCTGCTGAAGAAGGATTGGTCGCGCAAACAAATTTGGATATGCGGTACCGCGGAAACATCAGGGCCACATTGTGATATAAATCATCCGTGTCTTCATCTCTGCGCTTTTCTCAAACACATACCTTCTCATAAAAGGTCTTCACAGCTGCATTTCATACCCAACCACATCAAGACCGAAACCAGCAAGACATTTCCTCAACACCATGAAGTTCACCACCATCTTGGCTGCAGTCGCCGGCCTCTTCGCCGCTTCCGCTGTCGCACACGAGCAATGGGTCTACAATGACCACCGCAGGCCTATGCCTATCGCGCAACGCGCAGTTGCCAAGACAAGTATGCACCCTGCGCTGATCGCATTACCCCTCGTCAGAATTCCACAACCCATTGTACTAACCCACTTATCAGGTGCCTACGTCCAAACAGCAGAAGACAAGTCTCTTTGCGCCCGCTGGGACGGACCCCGGTGCCTCGACGACGAAGAAGGCCCCAACATCTTCGACGAGGAAGAGCGGAAACGCCAGGAACTGCAAAGCCCGCGGGAGAAGAAAGAGGAGGCTCTTCAAGAGTTGAAGAAGATACAGAAGATCTGGGATGGGTACCATGCGGAGATGCGGAATCTCAAGATGATGGAGAAGATTTATCAGGGATTCAATGAGCAGTTAGATAGGCTTGAGAAGATGGCGAAGCTTAAAATTGGCAAGGACGCAAAGGCTTCTGGGGATGAGAATGGCGGGCGATGAGGGTGCTGAGGAGAGTGTGTAGATTGTGACGACTAGGAGGGTCACGATGGCTTGAGATACGCGTTGGAGATGGATTGTGGGATGGGCTAGAGAGCCAAACTGCATGCTATTGTCTAGCTCGATGGGAATTCAGGCATTAGAGTGGAAGCAGGTCGACATCAACCATCGCACAATGAAATGAACTTGATCATAATAGTTTGGCTTAGGATGCAAGTGTAGTGGAGATGTTGTGGTGTCGACCTGCCCTGCAGCGCGATGCACAAGGCACGTCATCCCGAGGTTGCAGCACTGGCCACCGAACGAGGCCGATCGCGCTAAGTTTATCTGACCCTCACTTCACTGCAGTCACCATCCTTCCACACGACCATCAAGCCAGACTACTACCCCACGGACTCCCGAAGTCTATTCTGTCAAAGAATTCAGCCGATTCCTGACCGCTATGAGCAACTTTGGAGGCGCCGGACTTGGGCAAAAGGTCCAGAAGCCGAATCCGTAAGTCATTTCCTCAATGCGCATGCCTCGTTGCGGTCCCCGAAAGACCTAGAGAACATGGCAGCCTCTTCCCATCTTGCGGTTCGCTGTGCTTACAATCGCTCCCCTTCAGGCCAGAGCGCGGCTCCTTTCCTCTCGACCATGATGGTACGCTTCACAAACCCTTTACGTCCACTTTCACGTCCCATTGAACCAATCGAACCGTCTCGACACCGAACCGTCATTGCTATTCATACAAACAATCCGCTGACACTGCATTTCAGGAGAATGCAAGGATATTATGCTCTCGTACCTCCGATGCATCAAGTCGCATCGTGGGACCAATGACCCCGAGTGCCGCGGCCTCTCCAAGTCATACCTCTCTTGTCGCATGGATCGGTATGTACCATCATCTACTTTGTCTTGAGGAGGGCATCACTGGACCGCGATACAAACATGCTGCGCCGCCTATCTTCCCATTAGCTTTCCACGCCATTCCGTCATGTAATCACAGTAGCATCTGTGAAGTCGTGCATCCTTCCTCTCGCTCCGATTGTTTCCCCTCATAGAATGAGCATATGGCTGACTATTATCACCGCATTAGGAATCTGATGGCTCCGGATTCGTTCAAGAACTTGGGCTTCGGCGAAGACAGTGACGGCCCTGCCACCAACGCTGCAAACGCATCTCAACCATCGCAACCCAACGGCCAAAACCACCCTCGCGGAGCTTAGGTAACGGGTCACTGTTTGAGCGAAGGACAAAGATCACGCGTTCAACAGTTCGGTAGCATCCGGAGAACATGGCTCACATAGACCCCTCGGAATACGTCTCCACTCTTCTTTCCGAAAACCGTCGACATGCCAAATGACGCACATGCGCATGTGTGAGCACGCCCCATGCGCGCCCTGCAGCGAGACTGCAGATTCGACAGGTGACATTGAGAGGATGCCCTGGACCAGGACGGCAAAGCATATAGTGAGACAAGGGGAAGGTCGGATCGGCGGCATTGGCACCCATCTCCGCGAAAGGCACAAATACAAGCAACTTGGACACAACAAGGAATGCCCATGACAGCTTGGCAGATGCTGTAAACACCGAGGATACTGGTGATACCCGGGCGCGCCACAACAGATCCGATGAAAGACAAGGCAGTGCAGATAACACTGCAGGTCTATCTGAATCACATCGTTCTTTGTAGAACCTCGATAAGATAGCGGCGCAAATACACCTTGTTCACCGCTACACATTCCCATCGATCACCTTCCCTCGTCATCCTGCAGTGGCAACCGTCAGACCCGATCTTCAACCGAGACCTGCAAGTCATCCCCCGCAAAACCTAGATCTAGGAAACGGCGCTGCTCTGCAGATAGGGGGGTGTAACCGTCGTACAGCCGGCTAGCTGACACTGCCGATGGGGGCACGGTGACTTACTCAACGCCCATCTACCCTGCTGAATAGTCCGGCTATCTGAACATGTGCGATGCGCGTCGTTGGTAGCGCCATGAACACTTTGTTTTCGCGCTACTGCTGTTTCTGCCACTGAAACAGTGTGGTTGTGTCTACGGGGGGTTCGTACCGTGACGTCGGTGGCAGATGGGCTTCTCACTTTCCTGTGGGAGGGCATGAGAGACGGGCGAGTGCGGGTTTGGCGTTGCGCAAGGCATCGTGTATCTTTTGCGACGAGGAGATTACGGGCTGAAGTGGTATGAGACCACGTCGGCCTCGTTTGCTGAACATGATCCGCATGCATGCGCAGTGTTATGCCAGCTATACTGACTATGCGCACTAGCGACTACAACGGCATAACTGTGCATGCTATCATACTATAACATACCTTACTATGAACTACCAGAACACAGCTATCCACACTAGCGTGCGTACGTACGCATGTTACACGACAGATGTCAGTACCGATCCCAACATCCCAAGCCCACCTGCCGACTCCCTTGCAATGTCACAACCAAAACCCCCTCAACACCGATCGTGCCCCCCATCCCCTCTCCTTGTTCCGTCAAACGACGGGGATAGGGCTATACCCCTTATAGACGCAATACCATTGTGTAGCAATACCGCGACAAGGTTCCCTCGCCGGTTGATCCCATTCCATTCCATTCCACGTCCCTGCTCTACCCCAACTCTACCCCCAGTAGCAACGGCTTTTACATCTCCTTACAGCCCCATCCGTTGTCCGTTTGTTTCGCGTATATATACGGTTGCCTGCATATTGCGCATACTCCATTCGCCATGGACACGGACCCCCTCGATTGGATGACACTGCATCGTGGGCGAAGGACGTGGTAAGGACGTAGGCAGCTGATTGGCTGCGGGACCCGAGGCCGTTTTGCAGACCGATCGTAGCGTGCGTGTAAGCATATTGGCATGGGGGTGATCTGCCGGCAGGAATGGCGGGGACGCAGGACGGGGTATATGAAGGGGGGATATAGGTGTTTCGTGTCGGAACGGAGTGCATGGCATGGGTATGGCTTTTGTGATGAGGGGATTGCGAGGGAGGGTTTGGTTGGTGGGAATGTCGGCCGGGATACTTACATGTTTTCTATCTGATCCCTGAAGGTTGAGCTTAAGCTGTGGATAGGAGCGGCTGTGGAATGCGTGCATGGTGGACTTGCGTTTTCTACCGAACTACCTCGTCCGCATCAAACGTATGGGAATGCGCAATCAAACTTCCCCCGTCCCCTTCCAAGTCATCCCGACCCAACCCAACCAACCAACCAGCCAAGCCAAGCTGTTGTTTCTTCTTCTCGTCACCTGCATGTCCTACTACTCATTACCCATACACACACACCCATATCTCATTCCACATCCTCCACCGTTCACGACTCACCCCACCACCCGAAACAACCAAACACCCGGTCTCATCCTCCGGAACCTTTCTTCGGACGTGATCTTGCCAAATTGCTTTTTTGTCTTTTTTATCCCTTCAGTAGCCGTTGAGATGGCGTCGGATGCGGGCGGGCTAGATTTGCTTTTCCCCTACTTTCCCACTTTCCCATAAGCCCTAGATACGGTATTGTTGTACGAGATCCAGCGCTATCAATATGGCGCCGACGCCACAGCTTAGCTGACCAAGTTAGTCCGTGTATCACACAGTCTTTGCGCAATCTTGGAGATTGCGTGAAAGAGGCGGCGGCAATGGCGATTTTGCTCGTATCTAAGGACTGTGAACGCCATGAGGCTGAGACACGGGAGAGGCGTGGTAAAGACGCAAGAATTCGGAATGTTGCTTTTGTGGACCTTGTCGTCCTCCACACTGGCTGCCTGACGGGAGGACTGTGGCGGTCGCCTCCACCGCCGAATGGACAGGGTTAGTCGCGGCTCAACTAACTTCACCTCACTCGACAAGGCATGAAAGACGGGGTTATTGATGTAGATGAAATTGTATCTCGGACCAATCGGCCCATACCAGAGCCCATGAACTAAAAGGCAGAACGCGCAGTAGCAAGAAATCCCATAGGCCCATCGTAACCATAGCAAGCGTTATCCGAACGTCTTCTGCATCTATCATTCTCTTCCCACCAACATAAGTGCTGACACCGTAGAACGCCAACAATCCGAAACGCGCCGACCATGCTTACATGTGCCTCCCGTAAACAAAACCGTCATTAAAGAAGACAAGAGTGGTGATGTGCAAAACTGCAGGTAAACAACCGTGACACGCCACATACATGCGAGAAAGATGTAAATAGATGAAGGAAAGCGAGTCGCAGAGCTGCCAGAAGGAGTGAGACCGCCGTGTACGGAGAGTGTCGAATACCGAAGCGCCGAAGACCTTCGTGCTCCGGTTGGTAGGCTAAGCTCGGGTGATGATGAGCGGGAAACCAGGGTGATGATGTGCCACGGAGGGGTAGAACATATTATGCAACGAAATGGGAAGTGCTTTGATGCAGGCGAGAGCTTCATCCGTCCTTGGCCAGCAGAGACGGTACGCGCGCGGGCGACGACATGCCGAGGAATGGTCGACCGATGTGAGGTGTCTTTAGCCTCATTGTAGCAGCTCTAGCGTATGCATCAAGCAGGATGCAGGAACGGGTGCGGGGTATCGCGGGGTATCATAGTGAAGGAATCGACAACGAGATAAAAAGGCCGGAAGAACAGAGACAGCTAGTAGGCTTTGGATCAGTTCATGTCCATGCCGTACTCATCCTCCTCTTTGAGACTAGACCAGTACTGCTGCTGGTTCGATCCAGAACCACTACCGGTACTCTGCATGCCTGGGCTAAGACTCTGTGGAGATGCGCCACTGATAGGTTCACCGGCCAAGTTAGTGTGCTTAGGCACTCGGAGTCCGGAGCCAGGGCCTCGCGAGTATCGGAAGGTACCCGAGCCGTTCTTCTCAAGAGCCTCGAGGATCTCGGTCTTCATGCGCTTCTCGTCTTCGGTCTGTTCGGTGACCCACTCTTCGCCAGTGGCTTGTTGAAGTCGTGCAGCTAGCTCGTCACACTCTTGAAGCTTCTTGGACAGCATCCACATAAGATCGCGAGTCCAGCTGACAGCACCGTTGAGAATGTCACCCTTGTTCGGGCCCTTGTCTTTCTCCTCGATGGGCAGTCCCTGTGTAATGTTACCAGCGGCCCGCCTTCCATTGCCACCAGCGAGAAGTGACGTTGCTTGTGGAGGTGACATGCCAGTGGCGCCCATGGTAGGTGACAAGGGGCCATTATTGTTGATGTGCTTGCGGATCTTCTCGTCCTCGAGGCGATGCTGAGGTACAAGACGAGACAAGTCGTGAATGCGCTCGTTGATGTTGTCCCGTCGGCGACGCTCGACCAAGTTGTGAGACTCCCGACGCCGGCGCTTCTTGGCATCTGCGTTCTGGCCAATATCGACCTTGGCAGGTAGTGAGTTGTGCTTGCCGGAATGCAGGACATCGGTGATCTGCTGGTGGTGCATGGTACCCTGGTGGGGCGACGCGGTGGGCGAGTCGATCCATGAGTGCGCACTTCCGGGAGTGCCGTCCCACTGGCCAGACACGCTCTTTTGATGGCGGTGCATGTTGGTCATGATTGGCTGAGTAAAGTTGCCAGAGTCTGGCGTGCCGAGGTGGAGACCAGCCATGGCAGGGGTCTTTGGTGACATGGGAGCACGGCTGTCAGAACCAGTCCGGCTCATGGTGATACGCTGGCGCATGGATCCACTGGGCATGCTGCCAGGGAAGTTCATCCTCTGTGGTACTGATTGGTACTGGTTGAAGTCGAAGTTGCCAGGGTGGTTGAAAGGGCTGTGGATGGGCAGGTCGTCTGGGGTATTTGAGTAGACCTGGTTCATGCTTGGGTTGTTGGTGTGACTGTGGTAGTAGTCTTGCTGGCCGACCTGCTCTTGGGCAAAGTTGTTGAAGCCTGGTTGTTGTTCGAAAGTGCCAAGTGACTCGGCAAGTTCGTCGTCGGCGATACCTGCTCCGCCCTGCATGTAGCTGTTGCCGGCGAAGTGGTTGCCCATCATGCTCCCGCTCATGTTGAGCTCAGAGGGGTTGATGCCATTGGCATTCTCGTGCCCAGCGAACTGAGCGTTAGCGTATTGGTGGTTCATGTCAAGGCCGTTGTGACCGAGGAAGCGTTGGTTGAAAGACATCTCGTCGACTTCTTCTTTGATGTATGGTTGAGGTGATCCTGTGCCAGTCATGTTGAAGATATCAGCGTCTAGCACGTCGTCAGAGGGAGAGTCGAAGCCAAGGTCCAGCCTCGCAATCGGCTTTTGAGGAGAGTAAGAAGAGGGAGGAGTGAAGAGAGCGTCCGCTTGAGGGACAGTCAGTATGGTCTCGTAGTACATGATAGAAATTGACGTTGGAAATGACGGAAGAGGAAGTGCCGGGAAGGGGAGGAGAGAGGAGAGTCTGATATAGGAAATGGATGCACTCTAGCGCCGTTCTCATGACGGTGCAGAGTGGGGAACGTCACAAAGGCGTACTTACTAGGCTTTGGCATTACTGTGGGTTGCAGTATTCCAGGAATGTGGATGTGTATGATCTGAAACGATCTGTCGTCGATCTAAGCAAGTGACTAAGGATCGCGCTCGCAGCTTGCAGGATGATTGCAGCACGAGGCGGTCTGTGTCGCTATAAGGACCCTGGCAGATGCTTGCTATCTGGTGTGCACAAGGACAGTGCGAGCAAGCTGAGAGGCCTGGCTAGTGACGCCTGATAGAGACGAGCAAGCCTCTGATCTGGGGCAGAGGAGGCTAGTGTTTGTCTGCGCAGAAGACGTTAGTGCCATGTTCTGTATGCAAGAGATGTCGTTCTGGGAAGTATCGCTCACCGGTTCGGGTCTGCTGGCGTGGAGGTGGTTGTGGAGGAGTGAGGGAACTCGGAGCTGTGTTCCGGGATCGAACTGAGAGCATATGTCAGCGCACAGTCCAGCAGTCTGAAGTGTTGGGCGGTTGAAGGGTTGGTTGCATGAGTGTGGCGCACAGCGAGGTAACCCGCGAGGCGAGCGACGGCGGACGACAGCCGTGCGGTAGCCCGGCACTGTGGGGATGGTGGTACAGGGGACAAAAGCAGCGAAACCGTCACACACGGCCGCGGTATGGTCGGCGTGGTGTTCACGACGCAGGCCGAAGCGAGGTGTGGTGGAGTGGGAGAGGCGGTGGTAAAGGAAAGAGCAGCCGGACGTTGACTCACCTCACAACTGAAGGAAGGCGCAATGGGGATGCACCTGCAACACTCGGTCTCTCGGTCTCGGAGAGAAGGAGTGAGGTCGTTCGGACGGCTAGCTGCTGCGGTTCACGAGCAGCAAACTTGGGTGTCGATGGTGGTGGTGGAGGCGGTGGTCTGGATGTCGCGGCGTGGGGTGGGACAAAGAGGTTTGCCTTGGTGGTCGAGGCGGCAGCAATGGAGAGGTGAGGTGCTGGTCGAGTGGCGACTATGTTGTCTTGCTGTGAAGGAGACCTGGTGCGACGGGCGTGGTGGTGGGTAAAATAGCGGAGGTGGGATATGGAGAAGGAAGTCGGGGGATATGGCGGGGAGGGATCAAGGGTGGGATGTTCCTGGTCTTGGTGGAGCAGGAGCGTGGTAGGCGGGCTGCAGTGCGCTTGTTTGACGACTGTCTGCGGCACAGGCTGAGGATATTGCGCTGGCTGCAGCGGCTCTCTCTCTCTTGAGCGACGACGGGGCAGCTGAAGCGAGGCGTCGGTGTGGGAGGGCCCTAAGCCGGAAGGCGGTCAGAGAGGTGGTGGTGCTAGTGCGCGCGCCAAGCAGCTATGGGCAATGGCGAATCAGCCTGTTTGACGCGGATCGCAGCCAGCGAGAGCGAGGGCGGCGAAACGGCAGAGAGTAGCACGGCGCGCCGAGACGATGCCGCTGTTGTGGTGCGTAAGATGGGGATGACGTGCGGCGGCGTACAGAGATAGGCGTACAGAGATGAGGGCGTCGTGGAGTGGAGGGAAGCTCGGCCCGTGGTGGTCCGCAGATATATTGATGGAGTACTCCACAGGTATACATACACTGAGTATGTAGTGAGAGCAGCTACAGCGTATCGGGCAGAGGAATTATTGGACAAGTAAGACGCGGCACGGCCGCATAATATACACCTCGCTCGACTGGCGGCTCTTCGCCATCTCTCACCCGCCTTACGCTGAGTGTGGCTCTGCCTGTTGCCCACCCCGGTCCTGCGCCCACCCCGGCAGCAAGGTGTGGCCTCTTTTGGTCACGAACGAGGTAATCTTGTCTCAGCTACCCGGTTTCTACGCAGCGCTGGGTGAGGGCGCGCAATGTGACTCACTAAAGGGCTTCGGGCTCCTGTCAAGCGTCATCCATTGTCGACAGTCCAGGGCAGCCATGGCCGAACTGGCCGAGAGTGTGTGTGGTTCTCCAGGCCATGGTCCTTGATGCTTGCTAGGCTCATGGCAGCGGGAGACGATCTCGCGCTAGTCGCTAGAGCACCGAGGCGACGCTAGACTCTCAATGCCCTTCACTTTCACCCTCCACCACGACGACTAGGCGGATCGCATACGACACGCCGGAGAGTTCCTTCCTGCTCTGCGTCGCCGGCCGCCCAATCACACGCGCCGCAGCCGCCCCCCGGTCCTTCGCTCCTTCCGCTACACCTTCGCACCCTCTGCGGCCTCGTCACAAGCCTCGCCCATCCGTCGTCCCATCTGAGACGCCTGTCTGACATCTGCCATTGGCCGTCTGCCTCCTACACCGCAGGTCGATCATCTGCACGAAATCCTCCGGTCCGTCTTCGCAGTAGCAGCAGTGGCACCGAATCGAACAAACCGCTGCCGTGCCCTCCCACGACGCGCCCAAGCCACTCACCGCAGCGGGGCCCAGGCAGCTACACATACACCAGCCAGGGTCGACGGCCGCTATCTGCTAGCCGTACCAAGACTCGCACCTCCACGGCTCTTTGTGTCGCCTGCTGCGGCTTCGACCAAAGCTTCTCCCGACTAACTCACATCCTCACACCTGGGCATACTCAGATCCGCTAGCACCTCGTGTTCACCTCCCCAACATGGCCTCCGCTTCCTTCCGCGACTCGATGAACTCGCTCGGCTGGAGCAGGAGAGAGGCAGACGCGCCCATCAATACCGCGCCGCCCTCCTTCCTGGGCCGCATCCAGAACCTGAATCCCTTCGGCGAGGGAGGCTATGTTCGACTACCCATCACAGAGGGCAACCCTGGCGCCCCTCTCCCAGCGCCTACCCGCAGAGAGGAGGAAGAGGGGTGGTTTGCGCGTAAGTCTACGTCTTCCATTGCATCCTGTGGCAAAACACGTCCACCTTCCTTACGCGTCTCTCTCGCTCCCCATCTCCACTTTATCTGAGATATACCCTACTGCTACAACCCCTCCCACTATAGCTGTGGCGCGTGATGTCATCAGACGACAACGGTCGGGGCTAGTTTCACCTGCACCGCCATGGTTCTTTGTCTTCCTTCCATGTTTTGTCAGATGGCATTCTTGAAATGCGCATCCCTCTAGTTGGGGAGATATCCATAATTCCACAGGCATCAACGTGTCATCTGCCTGCGAACCGTACCCGGCCGCGCGACAACCGACAATGTGACAGAAGGGAGTTCCTGCGTTACCACTTCGGATGCAGGACCCTCGCATTGCACACACCTTTGACTCATGTTTACGTCCGCTAACCCATACCTGCAGTGAGTCGGTGGGACCGATTGCTCGTGTTTGGTGGGCTGCTCATTGCTGCCTTGGCAATGTTTGCTACCTGTGTTGGCCTGATGTTCACGCCTGTCTTTCTGCTCAGGCCGCGCAAGTTTGCCATTTTGTAAGTCCTCAGCTCTCATGTTGCCTCGTATCCAGCCAAAGGCGCCCTGCATGCAGCCTTCTCGCCAGTGGTGAGATCATACAAGGCGGATAGGCAGTGACACATACTGCATACGTCCTTCGGCACGGCTATGCGAACTCATGCAATCTGCAATGTCAAGGATCGCATCTTCCGCTCACCGACTGCGGACGTTAGCCTGCACGAATCCAGTCGCTTGACTCTCTAGCCACCAGAGATCGGCGCTGGACCCTCTGTAGCGATCATGCGGGTCCAAGGTTCGGCGCGCTGCAGGGTGCAGACAACCTTCATCTAGTCCAGACTCTGCCACGCCAAGTCGTATGCACATCACCTGAAGAACGTTAGCGCTAACATCCATGGCCTGATTGCAGATGGTCCATGGGAAGCGTTCTCTTTTTGGCAGCTTGGGGTGTCCTCATGGGCCCTATGCAATACGGTAAGCAGCCTCATTATCCGAGCCCACCACTACCGTCGCTGACAAAATATCAGTTCAGCACCTCATCTCTGGTCCGAGGCTTCCGTTCACTGCTGCTTACTTCGGCAGCATCGCTCTCACACTCTTCTTCTCTCTAGGTGTAAGTTCAAGTTCCTACCCCAGTACATTTATCCCTGCTACATGTCGACCCTTGTTCATGGCTGCCCGAGAGCGAGCCCCCACGCCTCCCTTATCGATTATCGTCTCCATAGTTTGTGTTTACTGACACTGTCCGCGTGACTAGCTCCACAGCACCATCTTGACCTTCGTTGCGGCTATCGCCCAACTAGTATGTCTATTATGGTACATCGTCTCGTATTTCCCAATGGGCTCCACGGGCCTGCGGTTTGCAGGACGCTTTGGCGCGAACCGTGTGACAGCTTGGATGAACGACTGAGGTCGTTGATCTGTGCATTACGAATGCTGTCTTGGCCACCGTGGCTATGTTGCTCTGTACATACAAGTAGGTTACGCAACGCGCGTCAAGAATACCATCATCATGTCTGCCAGAGTAGTATATTGCCTCGACGCGAAAAAGACTCATCTACCAGGATGCATCCGATATGCTTCTTCCAAGCCCATCACGTTGCGTAGTCACGCAGGCGTTGCTCTCTCCACGCCTCCCACTCGCGCTCTGTGATTGATCGGTCGGCTCGCAAAGATGTGCCACACCAAACGTCGCGAGCTTCAGAACTGGGCATAGACTGCGCAGCTAGTGCGGCGTTCAAGCAGCGTTTCATCGTTTCATACACTAGCTACAGGCCTATCGCCACATGTGCATTTCCAAGCCGACTTTCCGACATGTTGTTGACTCCACCAAACCTGTTCAATATACTTGATACTTGCAATTCCGCCTCCCGAGCCAGAAGTGTGAGGGAGTGACTGACTGGACTGGAGGTCGTGGTGTCTCACATGGGCCGCCTACCAGAATGCGTTAAATCAGCCCCTCGGATGTAAACGTTGATCATGCACTGTATCCAACCTCGTGGCGAAGTTCACTACAACACCAGCCCAGCCTTAGCCTACGCAGCACAGGATTGTTAATCCGACTGGCTGTATCCTTGACTACGCAGTTCGTACGAGTCGTAAGTTTCGACCGATCAGCAGCATGGTCGGATCGGCGCTGCGAACGGAAGGGAAGTTACTGCGTGGGTGTACGTCAAAAGGCAGGCGCAGAGTGTCGATCGAAGATCAACCCCAAAGAACAAGGTCCATCCCGAGGATGCGCCGTCCGCTGCAAGAGTCGCCAAGCGTGCAGACAGAAAGGCGCACGCTGCGAACGGCTCTGACACCATCTTGCGCGTTACTAACTAGTTGGGTTGTTGTTGCATCGCGCCATCACAGGCAGAAAGCAGCATAGTATAGTAGTGGCTGCGGCCTGGTTTAGGTTTAGACGGAAAGCAGGTTGGTTGCGTATTTGACACGGCCTACGCCTCTCCTGCGTACATGACTTATTCCCAACTCCCTTGTTGCGCGGTTTACGTTTCGTTCGCGCGATACGCGATATGTTCGCATGCTGCAAATCATGCAATCATGCTGCAATCACCCGACAGAACAGCCCCTAGTCCTGGTTTTCCTCCGAGAACACTACCAAACCTTGGAATGGAAATGCAAGGAGACATGATGCGAAAGCGAGGCAAGTTTAACGAAGCGATAGTGATCCAGGGTTCATCCTGGCGAGACAAGTCTAGATGGGATGACTGACTGTCTTTGATGAAGAGGAAGAAAAAAGGCCTCGTGATCTACATACCTGCACGACAGAAATACACCCGAGTTCTGGGCGCGGGCTGGTTTATCGCGATCAAGGGAAGAGTCGTAGTGGTGTAGTGGCATGGCCTTCTCTAGACAGGGAGGAAGGCGAGCCATCGTACAGGGATAGGGATACCCCGCATCGCGCTGCGTTGCGCATGCAAGCATGGGCGCTTACGCACCTCCGTCTGCACGCCAACCGCCACAACAACGTGCAACAGGGTTGGGTCGTTTGCTCATCAAAGCAAGGTATGCAGGTCGCAGCGCTGGTGGCCGCTGGGCGCATTACTTGCAAAATAGGAATGCGACTAGGCGTGGGCCTAGATAGATGGTGTACCAAGGTTATTGCGCGAGGCGGTCAAGATTGCGACTAACAGAGGCATGGGCATGAACAGATGGGGGCCAGCACTACGGTCTTTATTGGGCGCGAATCGCGGTTCCGATTCTGCACCTGGACGTACTATAGAGACTAGGGCGTCGTGTCGTTGACAAAGGAAGAAGCAAAAGTTTGGTTCGCGATGAATGAGCGGTCAGAGAGGTGTGTGTGTGAGATGAGAGCAGCCCGTGAGGGTAATGACGACATGATTTCCGCTCTCTCCGAAAGTTTACAGTAACAAGCTAGGTATTATGGTGATATCAAGGGCTGGCCTGGAATGGGTAAAGTAAGATTTCGGTATTAGGTGCCGAGGGAGGTGTGCGGTTTCTATTGTCAAATCTACGGACGGACGTCTGATATCTTGATTTTGGTTGATATCAGGTGCGGTTGGGTTTGAGGGTTCGGAGGTGGGTTCCGTCCGTTGGTCATTCGGGCCTTTTGTGGCGCAGATCGCGTTTGGCATCGTGAGGCGAGATGGGCGAGTGTGGCTTTGGTTTGCTGTGTGCGTATGGACGTGATGGTTTTGGTTGTTGTAGGTGTAATCATGCGATAGACGCGTAACAGCAGCGAAGAAGGTGCTTACTTTGCTGATGCCGATAGGCGCGGAGTCGCTTCGCCTTGTCGGACAAGACTCGCTTCACCTTGGTGAGATTACGCATCGGGACTGTCAATACTCGAGCGTCCTTCCCCATGCTGCTGCTTTGGGTGTTTGCTAGCGAAGTATGCTGAGGAAGGTCTCGCCACGTTCAGTAATCTATCACCGCTGTCTGAATGAGGACGAGTATACTGGCTGCGAGTTCAGCTATTCTGTGACACGCGAGTTTGCGTCGTCTCTCGTTTAGAAATCGCATAGGCAGCATCTGCGAGATTAGATGTGTGTTACGACGGGTAAGGCTGGCATTTCAGCTTTCGATCACCATCGTCGTGCCGTGCATAGGCGAGGTCCGTTCGCGGGACTGATGTCGTACGAGACCTCGCCAGTATAGGGCTGACAGCGGATTTATTGTGGCGTTGACGTTTCTGGATTTCACGTCTGAGAAGAACTGGAGAAGGAGTGGGATGGATGGAACGGGAAGGATCGAGGTGTTGAGGGTGTGAGGGGCAGTTGGTGGCCTTGTTTTGGAGTGCTGAGATGTGGAGGATGCGGAAAGGTATGCGATGATGTGTTATGACTGAGGCTGACTGAGCGAGGATGCGCAGCGTGTCTCTGGTGATGAGGTTACTGAGTCTCAGGACAGAATGGATGGCGATGGAGCGTGTTCACTGTCGCGACAACTACTGCACAGGAAGTATTACCACGCGCGCACATGGTATGTGGAAATAGATGCGTGGCCTTGATGCAACTTCAATATTGTAATAGTATCTAAGGGAAACACGCATCAGCCTGGTAACGCGCACCTACCCAGGTACGTAGTCACGAAGCAGATAGTATACGCCTTTGGTGTTGAGCACAACTCCAAATCGCGACTCGGGCTTCTTCATCCACCCGACAACTCCGACTCGTACATCCAGACATGCTGACTACTTTCTTACTCGAGCCTTTACAATCATACCCACAGCTCCACTGCCACATACTAGCAGCGAATCGGCGTGGCATGAAGTCCGCTCTTTCCCGGCGTCGCAAGTCCGTGGAGCTACCCCTCTTCGACCCTCATCGGCAGTTGCGCATCTTCACGCTCAAACCAACCTCGTCGGCGCTGACAGCTGGGCATGACGACGAGTGCTCACCTCCGCTGGTGTCGGTGCCATCGCTGATTGGACGATTTCCGAAAGGATTACCAGGAGTGGGAACTCGGTCACCGGAATTGCTATGCACGATGCGGCTTCCTGCGACGCGAGATTGTGGGGTCGAGCAAGTGTGGGGTCGTAGGAACAGAATGCCATTCTTCTTTTGACGCGGGACTTTCTGGTCTACCAAGCTCTCGTTCGAACATCATCTACACTATCGCATAGCATACCTGCGTCTACGCTTTCAGTCTAATCTATTAGTCTCACACCGATCTCATACAGTACCTTTACTGAACGGTCACAACGATCGCGTCATCATGCCGGAACAGCTCAAAGATCCAAAGGAGTACCAGAATATCTTCCACTGGGCGGAAACGCAGAAGGACGGAGCGATACCTTCCTTCGGCACGAGGAAGAATGATCCATATGAGGTGAGCTGACACCGACAACTCGACATCTTGGAGTTCGTTGCTGACGTGCGCCCTACAGTACCAATCTGGGTTCGGCAACAGCTTCGAATCAGAAGCAGTGCCAGGTGAGTGCCGCGTACATCCGAGCTATGCGACGAGAAATTGACCGATATCTTATAGGAACTATTCCAAAAGGCCAGAACAACCCCAGAAGCGTCAGATTCGGACTGTATGCGGAGCAGATGACCGGCTCCTCTTTCGTCGCTCCCAGACATCTGAACAAGAAGGTCAGTACCCTGTTTGAAGGGGGGTATATCGATGCTGACATCTTGATTAGGCCTACCTATATAGGGCGCGTCCGGCCGTTGCGCACCAAGGATTTGTAAGGACTCTTTTCCTGGACTTAGGCTACGCGCTTTGACCGATCGCGCAGTCAGATCGATAGCGCGTCGAAACGACGTTTGATCATTTGTCTCATTTGCTGACAAACTTCCAGACCGACCTCCCCGATAACGAAGATACCGAGTCAAACTACCTCCCCGTGAACAAGCGCGTTCATGTCTCGCCCACACAGCTAGCATGGCTTCCGTTCGATACCCCGACAGATGGCGATGTTGACTTCATCTCTGGTCTCAAGAGTATCGCTGGCTCTGGCGACCCAACACTCCGCGAAGGCCTAGCTGTGCACACATACCTCTGCAATGCGAGCATGAACAAGAGGGCGGCGGTAAACTCGGATGGTGATTTCTTGATCGTGCCTCAGCTGGGAGCCTTGGACATCCAGACCGAGTTTGGGCCTATGTATGTGCAGCCAGGCGAGATTTGCGTCATCCAGCGAGGACAGCGATTCAGAGTCAAGGTTGAAGGACCAACGCGGGGTTACATTCTCGAAATCTGGGGTTCGCAGTTCCAACTTCCTGAACTCGGTCCTCTCGGTGCGAACGGGCTTGCTAACGCTCGGGACTTTTTGCACCCGGTCGCGAAGTACGAGATTGAGCAAGAGTCGTGGGAGATTGTGTACAAGCTCGCTGGCAAGTTCTTCGTCAGCAAGCAGGAGCACTCGCCGTTTGATGTCGTGGCATGGCATGGGAACTACGTGCCATACAAGTATGATTTGACCAAGTTCGTCAACGTTGGCTCGATTTCGGTTGACCACATTGATCCATCCATCTTCTGCGTCATTACCGCACCTTCGCGCGACCCCGCGGCGCCGCTTGCGGACTTCTTGATCTTCAGCCCGCGCTGGGATGTGGCTTCACACAGTATGTGCTCGAGACTTTGCATGCGCCGGAGAAGCTAACGAAAAATAGCTTACCGACCGCCTTACTACCACCGTAATGGAGCATCCGAGCTCATGGGCCTGATCTATGGCGAATACGCAGGACGCTCGGATGAGTTCCAACCGGGAGGCATCAGCTTCGAGTGCGGTTTCGTACCCCACGGTGTCGCTTACGAAGAGTTCAAAGCGGCAAGTGCAGCGCCGCCGCCTGAGATGCAGATTTCCAAGGGCGCCGTCGCGTTCATGATGGAGAGCTCGAGGATGTTCACCATCACCGACTGGGCGTGGAACAGCAAGAAGAAGCACGAGCACGACCCGAAGATGTGGTATGTATTGATCAGGCAAGAGAGAATCAATGAAATGAGGCTAATCGAACGATAGGGACAACCTCGTGGACAACTTCTCGAAGCACAAGGATGAAGTTGAGAAGATCTTGGCTGAAGGTGTAAAGAAGCTATAATGCGGCACAGTTAGGATTCGATAAGCAGATATCGGGAGCGACATGCAGCGGCGGGTCCGTGGATCTTTCGGTACATCCTTCGTAGCTTTTGATAGTAATTCGACAAGGATCATGCATACAGCAATGCAAGTTTGTAAATGCGATGTGAAGGAATAGGATGATGCTCAAACGGGTTAGGCGGCGTTGACCCCGCGGGAGTCAGCCCCTGCCACAGCCACAAGCGGGCGAGTGATCTCATCGCTGTTTGGACACAGAATTGTCGCAATGACTCTAGACTGACCTCAACGCGACTGCGCCTAATGACGCCCTTTTAATGATTGTTCTTGCAGCGCAGCTCTGGTGAGAAACGCCCTTGCCGTGCTTGTTTTGTTGACTCATCGTTGCTGCGCACTTGTTCTCGACTTTTTGCTTGCTGCCTGACCGAATGCTCGCTCGTCTTATTTCATTCTCCCCGCTCCCACGCCTTTGCACTGCACCACCCACCACCTTTCGCTTACCCTCGTCTCTCCCACAGATACACCGTCCATTGCGAAGCGCTATTCGAACCTCCCCCGCGTCTCCACGGTCCTTCCGATCGACGGCCATCATGGCGCACCGCGACCAAGCACCGTATGCGCCCCAAGACCCGAAGGAGATCACCGAGCTGGTCCACACCCTCGAGGCGCACCAGGGCAAGAAGGGCAAGGGCGGCTTCTCCGTCAAGAAGCACACGTTCCCGCTCCCCAATGGCCGCACTGTCGACTCGTGGAAGATGAACGAGTGGGACTACAAGAAGGCAAACCTCCCCACATACGCACGAGGACTCTTCACATACAAGAACCGCGACGGCAACTACGAGATCGCCACACGAGGCTACGACAAGTTCTTCAACCACGGCGAGGTCCCGAAGACTCAATGGAAGAACGTGGAGCAACACACGCAGGGTCCGTACGAGCTGAGCGTCAAGGAGAACGGCTGCATCATCTTCATATCCGGTCTCGATGATGGCACATTGTTGGTCTGCAGCAAGCATTCTACCGGCCCACGAGGCGAGGAGCTCAGCCATGCCTGCGCAGGCGAGAAGTGGGTCGAGCGCCATGTTGCGACGGTTGGAAAGAGGAAGGAGGACCTCGCCCGCACACTCCGATCCATGAACGCGACATTGGTGGCTGAGCTATGCGACGACGACTTCGAAGAACACGTCCTAGCATACACCCCCGAGCAGGCTGGTCTCTACGTCCACGGCATAAACCTCAACCTACCCGAATTCGCGACATACCCTGGCCACCTGGTGGACAAGTTCGCCGAGGAGTGGGGCATGAGGAAGGTCACATATGTTATGGAGAACGACGTCAAGGAGGTTAAGAAGTTCCTGGACAAAGTCGCCGAGACGGGCAACTACGAAGGCCGCGACACAGAAGGCTTCGTCATTCGGTGCCAGGCGCGCGAGACCGAGGATGCACCGTATGTGGATTGGTTCTTCAAGTACAAGTTCGAGGAGCCATACCTCATGTACCGGCAGTGGCGTGAGTGCACTAGGGCCTTGATCGCGGGTAAGCCACCGCGGTACAAGAAGCACGAAGCCATTACGAAGGAGTACTTGGACTTTGCTCGCCGGCAGTTTGCCCAGAATCAAGGTCTAGCCAAACAGTACAACGCGAATCACGGCATCATCAAGATGCGCGACGACTTCCTCAAGTTCCGCGGAACAACCGGTGCGGATATCATCCGGCAGGAGCAGCTGAATGGGCCTGTCGAGAGCAAGAAGGCCGACAGGAATATTGTACTTGTCCCAATTGCGACTATCGGTTGCGGAAAGACAACGTTGGCTCTCGCTTTGGTAAAGTTGTTCGGCTGGGGCCACTTCCAGAACGACAACGTCAAAGCGAAGAAGGGTCGCGGTCAGATCTTCGCTGACACCATCTCTTCAATGCTCGTCACAAATCCCGTCGTCATTGCGGATCGCAACAACCACCAAAAGCGCGAGCGCGACCAGATCATCAACGACATCTCCAAGACCGTACCTGATGCCCGGTTCGTCGCGCTACACTATGTGCACGATCGATCCAACTACGACCGCATCCGACAAGCAACACAGAAGCGCGTACTCGATCGTGGAGACAACCATCAGACGATCCAAGCAGGCTCGAAAGGCAGGGGCGAGATTGTCGAGATCATGGAAGGTTTCATGCATCGCTTCCAACCAGTCGACCCTTCAGACAAGCCAGATGATCTGTTCGATCTCGTCATCGACCTCGATCCTACAGTCGACTCGCGCGAGAACCTCGAGACCATCATCGCGAAGATGTTCGAGACCTACCCAGCCCTGTTCGCCGGTAAGGAGATGCCGACGGACCCCGACATGGACGCCGCCATCCAGTGGGCCATGAACGACTACACACCAGACTTTAAGATGGATCTGTCCCAAGGTAATAAGAACAACCAGAGGGGCAACCAGAACGGTCAACGAGCAGCCCACAACCAGCAAAACCAGCCCGCACCAAAGCCCAAGAAAGCGCCACGCATGGAGTACTTCTCCGTCCGCCTCGACCCCGGCCGCATCAACGCGATTCTCGAATCCTTGTTCAGAGATAAAGACGCAAACACCGCAAGCATGTACAAGCAACTCAAGCAAAACAAGCGCGTCCAAAACGAATTCCACGTCACCCTCATCCACCGCGCGTCTGCGTCTCAAAACCAGGCATACTGGGACAAACTCAGCAAACTCCACGAAACCGCACAGCGAACCAACACTACAGGGACCTGGGAGCCAGAACTAGGAAAATGCGACGTACAAATGGAGCGAATAGTATGGGACGACCGCATCATGTGCTTCGTCGTGCGTCTAAACGGCTCTAGCTCCCTTCAAATCGACAGCGCGGCGGGCACAACGACGGAGGAGTTGCTCTTTACAACTGTGAATCCTACCGCGCACGTTACAGTCGGTACAGCGGCCCAGAATATCAAGCCCATGGAGAGCAACGCGCTTCTCCAGCGCTGGCTCAACGCTGGCTCCGGGGGCGATACTGGTATTGGTGAGATCAGCGTGAGGGGGAACCAGGTCCTGCAGGGGAGTGTGAGGGGCGTGTTGGGTCGGATGTAGGTCATCGATTCAACGGGGAATTTCGATGGTTGGAGCGATTCTCTCGAATGGAGAACCCGGTGGCAACGTGCCAAACAAAAAAGAAAGAGGACGGAGTAGAGAAGAAGATGGGCATGATGCCGATTATGAGCTTGTGGGTCGCTGAGGACAGAAGGTCGGCGCTTGAGAGGGCAAGGAAGGAAGAGAAAAGGAGGGAGAGGAGGATGAGAATGGAGACTGTTTGAGTTGTGTTGCTGGAGAGGAGTTGCATTATCCTAGCGATCATGGCATTACGAAGGGATGGACGGTATGGAAATAGCAATAGCATAGATACCTGACAGACAGGTTAATAAATAACAACGATACACTTCCAGCATGTACCATCCAACCGTCGATAATAGATTAGAGATTATCAATATCGAGCATACAGCAATCCAACATCGACACTGCCGTCAATCAAGGAGCTGCTAGAAGTACACACCCTCCTATATATCACTCACATATCAAGATTCAAAACTGAGTATGCTGCAACCTCTGTCATAGTCTATCCGTTGCTCACATACCACCACCTACACACAAAGCACCCCCTAATAAACCGCCGGAAACACACCCGTCCTCCCCCCATCCGTCAACATACTCGTCCCATTAACATAAGCACCCCCCTTCCCCACCAAAAACAGCATCAACCCAGAAATATCCTTAATCCCGCCCATCCTCCCCTGCGGTATCTGATTCGTCCCATACACCGGATTCAGACCAGCCGTCATATCACTCGGATAAGGCCCCGGACACACAATATTACTGCGAATCCCCCATTCAGACAGGAACGTCGCCATCATTTTGCCCAGGTGCGCGGCGGCTGCTTTGCTGGCGTTGTAGGCTAGCCCCGCGGAGACCCAGCGCATGTAGGAGGCGACGGATGCGATTGTGATGATGTGGGCCATGCGGTCGTCGTCGCTGTCGATGGAGTTGGAAGATGCGAGGGAGGTGGAGCGGGCGCGCGCGTTTCCGGTTCCTGTTACTTTTCCGGGGGTCCAGCCTCGGCGCGTGTTTGCTGCTTCGAGGAGGGGGAGGAAGGTCGCGGAGACGCCGATGACGGATTGCGTGTTTATTGCCATGGTATCTTGCCAGCCGTCGTAGCCTGCGACCATGGTGTCGGCGAGTTGTTGGATGGACTCGGCTTTGTAGATGTCGGCGCCGTTTTTGGGGCCAATGACGCCGGCGTTGTTGATTAGGACGTCGACGTAGCCGATATCTTTTTGTATCGTGTCGGCGGCGGCTTTTACGGAGGTGAGGTCTGTTACGTCGCAGGGGAGGGCGTGGAGGGTGCCGGTGTTGTTGGAGTCGCGCGGTACGTTGGCTTCGAGGTCGCTGACGGCTTTCTCGAGGACTTCGCGGCGGCGGCCGAGGAGGTAGATTCGCTCGGCGCCATTTTGGTAGAGTGCTGATGCTATGGCGAGACCGAGACCTGTTATGGTAAGCCTTTGTCTGGCTACGATACGTTGAGCTCGAGCATGTCGAGACGTGAGGGCGCGGGGCTTGGTGGGGTAGCTCGAAGCTTGAGTAACGTACCACTGCCTCCGCCTGTGATGACCACTACTAGCCCTTTCGCCGAGAAGATGTCGTTTGGTCTGATTGGTGTTGAGACGTCCATGGTGATGAAGGTTGAAGAGTATGAACGAAAGATGCAGAAGAGTAACTTGACTTTCACAGAGGGAAAGACGGACTTGCCTACTCCGACATGGAGCAACGATTGCGTCACAGACGGAAATAAGCCGCTTGCAAAAAGATCCCGCGGCATGCTGCGCGTTGAATTTCCGATTACCATGGGTATCATACGAACCTGCAGACCTGGTGAACGCCATTCCCTTTGTGCTTCTCCTATGCAAAACTAGCTGATACCCCCAATGATCTTCAGCCCCAAATTGTCCGCCGAGTATGCGAGGATATACCGGCACGGATGCCAGGCAACGTGGGACGCTGGAGTCGGCACATCGACCGTGTGTACAATCTCTCCAGTATGGACATGCGCAATGCGAATCTTCTTCTCTTCCTTGTCATCGGAGCCCGCAGTTACATAGCTGCCGTCGAAGGAGAAGTCGACTGACTTGATGATGCCACCAGTCAATTCCAAAGTCCGTGTGCATATCCATTCTTGTGTGTCCCAGAGTGAGATAAGCGCATCGCCTCCGCCAGCTGCCAGGTATTCACCGCTGGGTGATAGTGATACAGCGTAGCATGCAGAGGTATGTGCATTTAAAGTCATGGCGTTTTCGAAAGACGGGTACCGAAGGCTTCTGACGCTGCCGTCGCCGGCTGTTGTGTAGAGGTGGTTGCCCGACCAGTCGAAGACGCATTGATTTGTTTGGAGGACTTGTTGGTGTTCGGAGAGGATGCTTAGGGTCGATCGGTCGATGGTGACAAGGAGATTATCCTAGAGAATATCAGCATGTGTGTCTTGCATGGCTATTGGAGATTTAACCTTTCTACCTGCAACCAACTCATTCCCATCTGGCGTCCACGCCAACGTGAATGGGCACTCGCCGACCTTGACCTCGCCAACACTAGCCTTGGACCGTATATCCCAGAACCTGACCATGCCATCGGACGTGGAGCTTGCGAGCTCATTCTCGTTGATTGGGTGGAAGGAAACGCGTTCGAGGGCTGCTGTCGTGTTGGGCGTGCGCAATTCAGTCGAGTTCTTAGCATTCGTCTTTTCAGGGTTCCAGATGCGCAGTGTCCTATCTGCAGCGCCTGTCGCGATGAAGGTACCAGAGGCATTCCATGATAGTGTGCGGATGTAGTGCGAGGATGATACGGCGTTGGGTCGAGGGCTGTCTTGGTACACGGATGTTTTGAGCTTTCGGAAGTGTTCGTGGAAGGAGTCTGATTTGATCGAGCGCGCGCGTATCGGAGGCGCCATTTTGGAGATATAGAGATTAACGCGACTGGTGACGAGCTGGTAGTTATGCGATTGCGAAGTTTGTGGTGTGCTAAAGCTCGATTGCGAGAAGCTCAAGCTCAAGGTTCACACGGACCATCAAGCTCAGGGTCGGCCCTTCACCTCCACGATACCGCGGGCGATGACGTACGAACACATGTTTGGTAGTCATATCGCAGAACAGTAACATGATGTGCATGGCGATTTGGCAGCATTGGTGCCTCGTATCTCGTTACATTTTCATTCCAACAACTGCAGTAGCCGTCTAATCCTTCTTGCTCTCAGCACCCTCCTTCTGCATGCCCTCGCAGCCAACTAGGTTTCCTGCCTTCTCCTCGATACCACCCATTCCTTGTTGGCTGGGGTCGCGGTTCGCTGATGCTGCCTTCATGGCGTCTACGGCCTGCTCCTTGTCTTGCGCACCCGATGCCTTCCATGGCTCACTGCCGGTGACGTTTCCGATGGTCTCCTAGAAGTAAGTTAGTGCCTGGCTCTATATATGAAAGGGTTGGAAGGGCGAGTCGTCACGTACCTCAGCGGCGCCCTTGACGTATTGGGCGTGAGAAGAGACGAGACCGGGGTTGTTTGGTGCGGCAGACATTTTGATGTGTGTGGTGAATTCGTAAGAAGAAGGATTCAGAGGTACGTAGGTAATAGTTTGCAGAGTTGTAGATGGTTGGTTGTCTTGCACGACTTGCGCTGGAGGTTTGGCCACTATATCGAGTGACGGGCACGTTGACGTCATCAAGCACATCACATGGAGACGCGCTCCAGCTCGCGCGTCGGCGTAAGCATTAGACGCTTCTGCCACAGCTCTAGTTTCAGTCGCGTCCAGAGTTTAGAATCTCTCCACTCGAAAGGGAGAGCCATTGACCATATGACGTTGATGGAATCTATGGGCGCTGAAGCCGCGTTCCCCAGTACCTGCGTGCTTGTTGGAGGCTCCGCGGTGTCATACAAAGTGGCGGATACAATGCCTGAGGCATCAAGATCATGAACGGTTTCGACGATGCTTGGATCTTCGAAGGCTTGAACTTCGCAAGCCTTTGCAGCTTGAGCACCTTCTGGTTCAGGCAAGCGCAGATGTACCTCGGCAACTATCTCCACGCCAAAAGATACTTACAAATCAACGGCATTGCGTGCCCTAGCATAGGCGACTTGGACGTCTCTTTTACCACCTTTTCCCGACTGATTTATAATTTCCCATATCCTTTTAAGCAAAAGTAGTTGACCCACATCCTCAGATTCGACATCTCAACATGGCACCCCAAGACTACAACCAAGGCGTCCCTGGCCTCCCATACTTCACCCCGAAACACTTGACCTCACCAGGAACGCCCGCCCCAAACACCAAACAAAATGGCACAACACCAACCCTCTTCACGCCCCTCACCATCCGCGGCACCACCCTCCGCAACCGCATTCTCGTAGCGCCCATGTGCCAATACAGCACCGCATCTTCAGGCCCCACCATCGGCGCCCTGACAGACTACCACATCGCAACGCTCGGCCACTACGCCCTCAAAGGCGCAGGTCTAGTCTTCATAGAAGCCACCGGCGTCCAAGCCAACGGCCGCATCTCGCCAAACTGCCCCGGCATATGGAGTGATTCCCAGATCCCTGCGCTGCGGCGGGTCTCAGACTTCATCAAGAGCCAAGGAGCGCAGAGTGGTCTCCAACTCGCACACGCAGGCAGAAAAGCAAGTACATGCGCGCCCTGGATCGCCGGAGAGCAAAAGACACAAGGCGGAAAGCGTAAAGTCAGCGTAAAAGCCGATGTAGACGCCGATGGCTGGCCAACCAATGTCGTCGGCCCCATGGGCGGCCAAGAATGGGCCTGGGATGAGAAAGCCGCAGATGACGACAGTAGCGGGTACTGGGCCCCTCGCGCTCTCAGCGAAAAGGAGATCAAAGAGCTAATCCAAGACTGGGCCGACGCAGCGCAAAGAGCAGTAAAAGCCGGTATCGACGTGATCGAAATCCACGGCGCGCATGGCTATCTCATCCACCAATTCCTCTCCCCCGTTACAAACCAGCGTACAGATGCCTACGGCGGGTCCTTCGAAAACCGAACTCGTCT